GTGCCCAAACGGACACATACTCTCACACCCGCTCTCATACAACCTCTCATTCGCTATATAACTCCCGTATCGGTAGTCAAACTCGATTATCGATACATTGTTTGTGATCAACGCTTTCGATCTAAACAGTGGTCACAACAATTGGCGCAGTCGGTAGGATCGGTATTGCCGATCCCGTATCTACACATCCACGCATTCATCTCATCACTCGTCACACAAGCATTCATTACAAGACAACGAGCGCTGGGACTCAACACAAACGCAATCAAAACTCATTCAAAGTCTAAACTCGATTCAAACGTAAGTCTAATCACTCGAAGACAATGCCTCCAAAACTAAACAAACGAAGACAGCCGAGCCCCGCGCGAAGCATCACATCCCAGACATCACGACACACAACCGTATCCACTACTACAGCGATCGCAACACGTGATCCAAAACTGCCTAAATTCGAGGGCAACGACAAAAAGCTAACCATTGAGGCATTCATCGCTCTCTTCGAAAGGGCGTTTCGCCACAAAACAGATGATGAGAAAGTGGATGCCATCATGGGTTATCTCGAAGGCGATGCGGCTAACTATTACGGCACTAAAGTCCTTCGCGATCCCTGTATTCAATGGCCAGACGTCGTTGACAAACTCACCACACGTTACGCTCACAGTGACATCGCACCGTTCGCTGCTGCGAGTCGTCGCCACAAACAGAAAGACGAGACAATCCGTACCTACTTTGATGACAAGACCCGTCTCTTGGATCGCATCAGTGGTCTATCAGAGTATGATATGACCTCTGCTCTCACAGAAGGCCTACCCGACGAGTATCGCAGTTATTTCGTTGGAAAGCGCCCAACACTCACTAAATGGCTCCAAAAGGCACAAGACATTGAGGCCGACACCAAACGTAACACTCATACGACTCGCACTCAAAACGCATCCAATCAATCAAACAGTGGCGCAAAACAAACACTCAATTCAAATACGAAACACGAAGTCTATCGCGTCGACTTCACACGCAAATGCACTTGGCTTTGCCAATACTGCCGTGAACGCGGCGAAACAAACTATCACTGGCACCGGGACTGTCCTCACAGACCCGAAGACTATTCAAACCAATCGACGCCAAACTCGAGTCAAACTTCAAACGCAAACGAGACTCATTTCATCGGTCAAGTGATGTCAACCATCGGTCCCTCAAACACGCAAAACATTATTCTAATACCGGGTCGTATTGGTAACTATGGACTCCAATCTCTCGCAGACATCGGGTCCACAGTCGATATCATTCCACTCCGTGTGACACAAGATCTCGGGCTCCCTCTCAACCAGTCAGAGAAGTCTCGATTCGCTGTCGCCGGAGGACACGTCGACACACTCGGCACCGTCTCATTCAATCTCACTATCAATTCAATGACTCATACTATCACTGCACACGTTATACAAGACTTCAAGTACTCGTTGCTTCTGTCACTCCAAACACTCGCACTCTTTCACGCAATAATCGATACAAAGAACAGAAGCGTAACGTTCAATTCAAACAATCCATTGCCACCAATACTCGCAACACATACTCACACTCTCGGGACTCAATCACAAGTGTCTGATCACATGCCTGTAGTCAAGCGTACAAACCGTCAATCATTCCATATCTCAGCTATAGCTGACCGACAAGTCGAGCGCCACAACGGTTGCAGTCGGGGCGGCGTTGAGAACAACGTCTCGTCCATCACTTTGTCGGATACCACAGACGGATCCATGCGTTCAAACTCTGGCGCCTATCAGTCAAATGCGAAGACAGTCTCGCAAAACACGCATTCATTCAATTCAAACAAACGTTATACTCAATCGAATCCAATACTAACACAAACTCGAAAACATTCATACAATTCTCATTCGCACTCGCATTCAAACTCAAACTCGTGGACTAATGTTCACACAAACGCTATTCAATTCAATTCAAAAACTAATTACAATTATTCAAACATTCGCTACAATTTATACACACATTCGATACTCAACACTAGATTCAAAGACAATCGCAAGACTCACACTAATCAACACAACGACGACCTGAATCATACCAATCGCTGGTCAACTCCGGACAACACAGCACTCGTCTCCTCCGTGACCAGTCTTTCGACGCCGGGGGGTCTCGTGGATCCAAAATTCATACATTAATTCTTATAAAACTTATGTAACTTTTTATTCATACAAACTTTATGTGTAAACCTTATCCGCCATTAATCCTCACTCTAGCCTTTCACTCACTAAACCAATGCTTTCACTCACTCTAACCCTCAGTCTCTGTCTAACACTCGTTGAGAACAGTCGACTCAAACACTCATTCAAACTCTAACTCTAATCCTAACTCTAACTCAAACTCTATTCAAATCCAATTCAAACTCAATCTAAATCTAATTACTATTCAAACGTTAACTCAATACTAAATCCAAGTCTTAATTCAATTCAATAAATCATTTCATTTGTGTTAAACTCGATACGACTACTCATTCATACAATCAGTGCCCAAACGGACACATACTCTCACACCCGCTCTCATACAACCTCTCATTCGCTATATAACTCCCGTATCGGTAGTCAAACTCGATTATCGATACATTGTTTGTGATCAACGCTTTCGATCTAAACAGTGGTCACAACAATATAATCGACACAACGTGGATATTTATCTGATAATTCCGGATGTAGAAAAATAAATACCCCTCACTATACAGAACAGTAATATTAAAGAATCATCAAATAATAATTATTTTAATTAAATATGTTATTAAATTTTAAAAATACAAAATTAAGATTAGAAGTTAATAAAATTGTTTTATGAAATATATTTTTAATAAATACACACTTTATATAAAAACTAATTATTTGTCAAAAACAATATCAAAATCAATTGTATTAAAAACCAAAACATTTCCGTCGCGATCGGGTTCTATGGTCTCTGGTGTACGATATTTGTCGGTCAGTCGTATTGGATGGTCGCGAGTGTACTGAAGAAACTTTACCATAATTAGAAACAGTCCATTGATTGCCATTAATTCACCAGGACACGTCCGCCTACCCGTACCAAACGGTATGTACGCTGAAGGGCGTTGTGATTTAAAATACCCATGGTCGTCTAGAAAACGTGCCGGACTGAATTGCTCACCATTTGGCCAATATTTAACATCTCTCAGTATACTATATGAATGTTGAATTACTATTGTTTTGTTGGGAATTGGATATATACCGCCTATTGGTATAAATGTCAAGTCATAATTGTATTAGTAAATAACCATGATAGTAAAATATTATATAATCTATATTAACCTATTTTTGTGTCTTCCAGAGCCATATGTGGTGAGCCAACCGGTCCGGGGTTTCTATAACGAAGAGTTTCGTATAGAAATGCCATAACATTATGCAAACATTGTTTGTCGTCCACAACCGGCGCCCTATCGCCCAGTTTATCGTTGATCTCTTGTCGCATAACATTTTGCCAATCGGTATAATATGTCATCAATAATATTAGCCATAAGAGTGTATGATATGTGGTCTCAGGTCCCGCTTATGTGTTAGTTATGTAAAATGTAATCAATAATGATTAATTAATATAAATACTTTTGTCAACACCATATAATTTAAATAATACCCAAATACATGTCCATAATTACTGCCGCAATATTATCGCGATTCAAATACTGAAACCCAGGCTTTCGTTCCGATTCTGCCCTACGATTAGCGCCGATAAACTGATCGCAAAAATCTCGATCATTACTCTCGTCGTAATTATTTTCACGGCTTTTCAATTCATTAATTGTGTAATTAAAGCACTCGTTATATATTTGTTGTAATTTTTCAAAAGGATTGGACATAAAATATCGAAATATGGGTATATACTCGTAGATTGCGTATGAATATTTAATATCATGTGCAATAAATATGCTAGCGTATTGAAATTTGGTGTGCATTTTCTGGTCAAACCTTCATTAAACAAATTAAAATTAATTAAAACAGTTTAATGGTTGTCCTAGGTAAACTGTACTTATGGCAAAAAATTGAAGCATTAAAAACATTCATAATTATTGCATTGAAATAGTCTTTGGGATTAAACGCCCGATTAATGCCCTCTTTAACCAACATTTGCGCTAAGATTTGATCGACAGTTGTGTTCACTAATTGTGTGAAATCCGCAGAATTTGTAAATTTTCTAATTAGTGCATAAAATTGTGATTTTTATAAATAAGTGATTAGAATATTGTTATATAGGAAACAAAATCAAACAAAAAACAATTATTTAGTATTAAGTAATTAATATACAGATTCTAAAACCTAATGCTTGAGTGAGTCATTGTTCTAAGCCATTGCCAACTCTTGAAGTGATTGTTTAGGGCCACATCATAATGTTTATGGGTGTTGTAAATATTACCTAGAATAAATTTTTGTTAAATACTATTGTTGTATAACTTTTGCATAATTACAAATAATTTGCAATAGCGTAATAATTTACAATAACTAGTTAGTAGGCTATATTGTAAATATAAATATACATTGATTTAATAAAATACAGTCTAAAGCTTATATACAGTATGTTTATACTATAATTTAGTTTATAAACAATTTAAAAGTACAATTTTGTGTATAATTTTAAAAATTGGTCAAGGTTCAATATATACCAAATATAGGTTGAAATTTTCCAAAGCATTCAAGTTTTCTAAACGCTTGTNAGTATGTTTATACTATAATTTAGTTTATAAACAATTTAAAAGTACAATTTTGTGTATAATTTTAAAAATTGGTCAAGGTTCAATATATACCAAATATAGGTTGAAATTTTCCAAAGCATTCAAGTTTACTAAACGCTTGTTTAACAATAACCGGATCACTGATCAATACGATTGGGAGCGGACCGACCCATACGGTGACCACCGGTCCATACAATTTGTATAGTTTTACTAATTCTTGGTTTATGTGTTGTTTTAGATTTCTAAATACTATAAAATATAAACTATTCTTAATAATATAGTAAATAATTAATTTGTCAAAATAAATGTTAATTCACATAATATATTGCCGATTAATGGTAGAGGTGTTGGACCAGGTGGATATTTACAAAGATTGTAATAAAATGATGCCAAATAATACGTGATCGCACCAAATATGATTGTTACAAATAGTGACAACCATGTTAACCTATTGGCAGGCAGATTTTAAACAATAATAAAACTTTTAAGCCATTTCATTACTTACATGATTATGTTAAATTATTTGTGTGACAATTATATACTCTATTATAGTTATAATTATAATTACTATAGAAAGGGTTATAACATCTTTTATACTAAATTGTTAAATTAAAAAACATAGCCACAAATTGTATAATTCAATTTCAGTAATACAAATCCCAGATGTATTAATATATTAATTTAATATATACTATATATCAAAGTTACAGTATATAATAGTTATAAGATTTATTATATTAATTTTGATGTTAATATTAAATCTGATTATAGATTAATAAATATCTTTAAAAATGCATATGTCACAAAAACATCTACCACGTTATGATTGACAGACAGTTTAAACTGATATAGCCTATTATATAATAAACTGATATTATTATTAGCTCACTGTTATATCTGTTGTTATAATATTGATATATTACTGCCTCCGTATTTATGTTAATTGTGTTTGAAATGCAAATTAACAACAATCATATAATCGACACCATAGTGAATATTAATCTGATTATTCCGGATGTAGAAAAATACACTTCACTATAATTACAAAACAGTAATATTAAAGAATCATCAAATAATAAATTATTAGTTTACATAATTTTAATTGAATTTGTTATTAAATTTTAAAAACACCAAATTAAGTTTAGAAATTAATAAAATTGTTTTATAAAATATATTTTAATAGATATACAATTTATATAAAAACTAATTATTTGTCAAAAACAATATCAAAATCATTAGTATTATAAACCAATGCATTTCCGTCGCGATTGGGTTCTATGCTCTCTGGTGTACGATATTTGTCGGTCAGTCGTATCGAATGGTCGCGAGTGTACTGAAGAAACTTTACCATAATTAGAAACAGACCATTGATTACGATTGATTCACCAGGGCACTTCCGCATACCCGTACCAAACGGTATGTACGCTGAAGGGCGTTGTAATCTGAAACACCCATGGTCGTCTAGAAAACGTGCCGGACTGAATTGCTCACCATTTTGCCAATATTTATCATCTCTCAGTATACTATATGAATGTTGAATTACTATTGTTTTGTTAGGAATTGGATATATACCGCCTATTGTTATAAATGTCAGGTAATAATTGCATTAGTAAATAACCATGATAGTAAACTATTGTATAACCCATATAAACCTATTGTCGTGTCTTCCAGAGCCATATGTGGTGAGGCAATCGGTGCGGCGTTTCTATAACGAACCGTTTCATATAGAAATGCCATTACATTATGCAAACATTGTTTGTCGT